GGGCGACCCTGCGTGGTCGCCCGCAACGTGACCGAAAGCTATAATCGATTCCGTCGTTTCAAAAACCAGGGTGAGCCCGAATGCAATTCGGGCCGAGCGCAGCGAGCAGGCAACTGACAGTGTCTGCGCTCGAATTAAAAACAGGATCTCCCATGCGCTCACTCACCATGCCGACGGTTCTTTGCTTCAGCCTTCTCGTCTCTGCCACTTCCAGCCGGGCACAAAACAACCAGCCCTTTCCGATGGTCACCGCCGGCCAGTCGATACAGGCGGCCCTCGATGCCCAGCCCGGGCGGATGCTCTTCCTCCCCGCCGGCGATTATGAGATCTCGGAAAAACTGGTCATCCGCAGTGATGGCAGCGGCCTGTTTGGTCCGGGACGCATTATTCAGACGAACCCCGCAGCCCCGTTCATCGAAGTCGAACATCGAAAGGGCGTCCAGTTTCGTGACCTCGTCCTCACTCGACCGGAGGATAAACAGACGACCGCCATCGAAGCCATTAACCTGCGCGACTGTCAGGATCTGGTGCTCGACAACGTCACGGTCCTGAATCACCGCACCCGCTCCGGCGTCTTCTATCTGCTCAACTGTCGCAACGCCACCATTCGCAACTGCACGATCACCAACTATATGCGGATCGCCGTCGACGACCGCACCGCGTCTCCCGACTGGGGCTACGCCTTTCACTGCATCGACGGCACCGGGATCGTCGTCAACGCCAGCACAGGTACCCTGATCCAGGGCAATCGCATCACTGAAACCGAACTGCTGCCCACACCCACAGTCCAGCAGCAACACCAGCTCGGCCAGTTCGTCAAAAAGAACGAGACCAAAGGGACACTCACCAGCCAGGAAACCTGGGAGCGGGAATCGGTCAAAAACTGGCACCAGGGGTCGGCCATCATCGTCACCTCTCCCATCGCCAGCGATCGCACGCAGATCCTGGGCAACACCATCGAAAACGGTGCACAGGGCATCGACCTGCACTCCGACCATGTCATCGTCGCCCAGAACATCGTCTCCAACTGCTTCGTCGGCATGAAAGCGATGCACGGCTCCCGCAACGTGGTCATCATCGGCAACCAGTTCATCAAAAACGATCTCTGGAGTATCGGCCTGATGCCGGGCGCCGCTTCTCACGCTGCCAGACAGGAATCAACTACAGAGTCGGCCCGTGTCGATAACGGCGATGGCGGTTCAATCATTGCGAACAATATCATCTCCCAGTTCGGCTTCGGCAACGCCCACTGGATCTGGGGCAGTCAGGGCAATCCGATTCTGCTCGACGAAGGTCAAAAGCCAGACAACCCGCCATTGGCTGACGTGATTATCCAGGGAAACATCGTTCAGAATTCCGGCCGCTTCCAGCCGGACAAAACAGAGCAGGGACCGCGCTACGTTTACGCCATCCGCATCGCCCGCAAAGCGACCGGCATTCATCTCTCCAACAACCTCTTCGACCCGGGCCGCGAAGGCATCAGCAATGTGGAGTTGAAGCCATAGACAGTCTGACCCGCATTTACGCATTCTCATTGAAGATAGACTGCACACCGAGGGAGTTGTTGCAGTGGCTGATTGAGCAGCAATCGATGTACCTTTCCTCAGAACTTCCCGACTCAGCGGGAAAGCCGGGGCTGTTGTGTACGGTGCTTCCCCGCAATGAGAAACACAGACTCGCAGTTCAACATAAGTATGGTATCGATCCGAACATCATTCTCTGGTGCGAAGTCGAAGAACGCAAAGATCACGGCCTCGGTCGGAAGCATCTGGTTCAACTGGCCGTCTCCTTACTGGTCTGGAAGCGAACCTCGGGAGTGCTGGATCTGGTGCTATACAGTGTCGGCAGTAAATCGGGGGGAATCCTCTTATGCAGGGACAATCAGATCGATGCCGACTGCTCGGACTCGGACTGGGAGAAAACCTGGACCACCGCCTTTGACAAAGCCCGTCTACCGTTCAAACATCGCAGACTGCCCTCACTCATGACAGATTCCACACATGAATGAAGTGCACCATCCTCATGCAGATGTTAAATCCCGCTTCCACTTCTCAAACTTCTGGTAACCAGTAATACACCACAGTGTCTCACTGCAGCAGCGAATACCAGACGATGTTCAATCCCAGTTTCACGGCGTCTTCAGCGACGTAGCCCGGGCAGGCGATGCGGTCGCCATGTTCGATGGCGCAGCTCAGATCGTGGCGGCTGTAGAGCACCGCCAGACGACCGTCGATTTCAATCCCCTCGATTTCAGGAGCGACGCGGGTCACCCGCTCCTCATTGGTTTTCGTCTGCAGATCAATCGGGTGACGGAAACGAACTTCCCGCAGCTCAAATCCGGTGGTTTGCGAAAAGAGTTCGTGGTCGACGGGAATCCGCTTTAGACGTTGACCCGGAAACAGCTGTTCGGCCAGTCGCCGGAAACTCTGATCGAATTCGTCCGCTCCGCAACAGGCATCCGCAAACAGCACGCCCCCCTGTTTGAGGTAAGCGCGCAGCTTCTGCTGCTCACCCTGATCGAGGGCGAATCCATACCGGCCATGCAGATAGAGCAGGGGATGGGCAAACAGTCGCTCGTCGGTTAAAGGCAGCAGTCGCGGTTTCGTCGCAACCTGCACCGCAGACACCTGGTTCATCGCCTGTAGTAGTTTCTGGAGAGCCCGCGGGGCAGCATCCCATTCGCCGGAATGATGGATGCGGGCGATGTTCAGCAGCCGATGTTCAATCCGCTCCGCGTCGGTCTGCTTCCGCTCGGATGCGGTGCGCGGCAGCTCACGGATCAACGTCCGTCCCGCCGCCAGGGCGCAGACATTCACGCCCGTCTGCAGCGCACGTGTGAGATACTTCTCGAACGGCGCAGATCGCTCTGCTCGCACCACCGACGACCATTTTTCCCAGAGACAGGTCAAGTCTTCCGGGGCATAGATAATCGCGGTTCGGCAGCCGGTCTCAGCCCCCCAGAGTTCCACCAGCGGTGCACCACTCTGGCGATCACTCAGCGGAAATTCGCTGCGATAGACGGGGTGTGATCCGTCCAGCTTCCGTAACTGCGTTTCACCTTCCGGATAAAGCCTCGCGACCAGCGACTGCATCGCGAGGTCCGGTGAAGGACTCCGGCAGCCTCCGACGGCAAACAGAAATCCGCCCTGCTGCAGATAGTCCCGCAACAGACGCGTCTGCGGTTCGGTCAACAGACCAGCGTCCGCAACATCGAGCACCACAACCGGCGCCAGTCCCAGATCCTCCGGCCCGGCTCGTTGCATGTCGATCGACTGCCAGGTCAAACGTTTCGGCCAGCCTTGGAGTCGACTGGTAAACTGCGCCAGGTTCCAGGCCGCAGCCGGCGTGTCATGTGCCGACCCCGGGAGGCCGGCCTGATCCGCTCTCGTTCCCGTACCCCATTCCAGCCGACCGACGAGAATCGGCGTCAGTCCCCGCGCGAGGAAATGCAGGGCATAACTGGTCGCCAGGATCTCACAGTCTTCCAGCAGAACAGGCGCCCCTTTCCAGGCGCCTGTAATCGGATTCTGATGTGCGACCAGATACGCAGCCCCCTCGGAATACCAGTCGTGCCGTTGTCCGGTACTGCTGATGAAATAACGACGGCCCGTGAGCCGACCCACCCGTTCCAGACAGTAAAGGTAATAGAGGTAGCCGACCGAACCATCGGCGAGCGGGTCGGTACTCGGATTGTGGGTCACTGTGAAATGATCACCCAGCCAGCGGCACCCCGCTTCAACCGCCTCATCGCGGAATGGCGGACCACAGCAGTCCGGTTGACCCACAGCATTCAGATCGGCCTGCGCGGCGCGGAGCCGATGCTGTGTCGAAACCAGGTACGCGATTCCCGCCGCAGTAATTCCACCCCGGCTGTATTGGCTGTTCTGAGAACCCCAGCCCCCGTCGGGACGCTGTCGCTTCAACCAGTGTTTTCGTGCCCGCTGCCAGGTAGTAGACTGCACGGCCACTCCCTGCTGCGCCGCTTCATACAGACCCAGTGCCGCGTAGTGCGCGTAGTTCTCCTCAGAGTTCCCAAAGCTCCAGGCACCGTCGTTGGTGCCCTCGGAATGGCCGGACTCCAGTTTCTCGGTGAAACGCTTGAGCAACATGAGGTCCTGCGGTTCACCCGCGGTGGCCAGCGTCTCCAGCATCAAGGCGATTTCGTGCGTCTTGACGGGATCCTGCGGACGGAGCCACTTCAACCCCCGCTGAATTTCCGGTGCTTCGGTAGTCATCCCTGCGTGGAGCAGGGCGTGCAGCGTGAAGCTCGTCAGTACCAGCGTCTGTTGCGGACGCGCTGCGAGTTGCCAGCTGCCGTCGTTCTGCTGTTGTTTCAATAAATAGTGGCGCGCCTGTTCGATCGAGTTCAGCACAGCGTCTCTGGTAACCGGTTCCGCGGCCCGAACCGGGACAGACAGCGATCCCCCCGCCACCAGGCAGACGCATAGGAACAGAACAAACAAGCGAACAGCGGTAAAGCGATCAGGCATCAATTCGAACCACGTGAAAGGTGACTGGCGACAGCTGGTCCGGCAGAAGAGGGGAAGTCAGGGCGGATATGCTAAGTACTATCCTAATTCTGATTCAGGGGGAGCGTCAATGTGCGTTTCCTCCCTGAAATAGAGCCTCAAATCGACGCGGAACGCCGTTTCTAGGAAAATCTCAGTTTTTTTTCCCGAAACCGCGTGAGATTCCAGACGGGACACCGCCTGAATGGTATCAAGCCACTTTGAACCTTTTAGAACAGGATGTCAGAATTATGAATACGTCAGTCACCCAGCCTGCTGCTGAAATCGCCGCCTCGAACCGCAAAACACTGGTCATTCCACTGCTCATCATCGCCATCGGCACCGGCTGGTTACTGACGACACTCAACATCGTGCCCGGACTCAACTGGATCTGGATTCTCGGCCTGGCGATCACCGGCCTGACCTCCTTCGCCGTCAGCGGAATCGACAAGTCCTCCGTCCTGATCGGCCCCTTCTTCCTCATCGCCAGCACCCTCTCCGTCCTGAGACAGATCGGCTACGTCACCTTCAATATCGAAATCCCGATTCTGGTGATCGTCATCGGCTGCCTGCTGCTCATCGCCCGCAGTCCTTCCATCCCACTGCCCAAATGGATGATCTTCGATTCCGCAGACCACAGTGGATAGTAAGTTGCAGCCTGTGTGCTGTTGCGTTGATTCCAGTAAATCACTTAATTTGTATATAAACATTAAACAAATGATGGTAGGAGTATACTCTATCGAGAAAGTAGTTCACTCCAGTCAAATGTGGAATACAAACGGTTGTGAAATGACTGACATGTTTCGTCTCGATTATAAAGTGCTCGCGATAGTTCTGGTTCTGCTGCCCGGAACATCCTCACTCGCTGCTGACCAGCGGCTTTCGACACTGATTCACAATGTGTCTGACCACGAGCAGCGTTACCAGAATCTGGAGTTCTATCGGCAGTGGAAACTTCAGTTGAAGCTACCCGGTTCGCTTTTAAAACAAAGAGATGACACGAATCTGTTTCGAGAACTCCAGCGCGATTCGCGGCACGTCTACCAGGACGGGTGCTTTACGATTCAGGAACAGATTTCAGCAGTTTCACTGACGGGCGTGAAATCCAGTCACAAGATTCGCATCAGCTATGATGGCCAGCAGACGCGACTGGTGGAAGACGGCACTATCAGATTCGAACCGGGCAAAGATCTGAACTGGCCCTTACGCAAACCTCACGTCTTTCTACTGGATCGCCTGGCTGAAGAGCCGACCCTTTCCAGGTTGCTGACCAGTCCGACAGCCAGAGGGTATTTTCTCAGCATCGCTTATGAAACAGAAGAAATCATCAACGGCTTGAACTGTCACCGGATCCGCCTCGAAACCTGGGTCAAAGGCCAGCAGCAGCATGATTTTATCCGGATCTGGCTGGCCCCGGAACGCAACTGGATCCCGATTCGTACAGAAGGCTACGCCCTGGGCTATAGTGATTCGATTCCGTTACAGATCAGCGAAATCACAGCGTGGCATCAACCGGCTCCCGGACTCTGGTTCCCGCACAAGATTCGGGACATAACCCATGATGAACAGTCCGCAGCACAGGGAAAAACAGTGATTTCGTATGAGAGTGAAACCTCACTGACGAGTATCTCCTTCAGTCCAAAATTTGATCGCTAATATTTCCAGGAGGTACCGCTGCCGATGGAAATAGGATTACAGAGGGACCCGACAGAGTAATTGCTCAGACACTGCCCAACTGGATGATCTTCAATTCCACAGACCACAGCGGAGAGTAAGCTGCGAGCTCACAGCACAGGAATTCGGCTGGCGTACAGGAAATACCAGAAGAAGATCGCCGCCGCAAAGTTGACCGCATACGATATCAGGCAGAGTCGTGCTTGACCTGCCGGATATTGAATCGAACCGAGCAATATCAGAAAGGCAAAGCCAAAACAGACACACAGCATGGGAACCAGCGAAATACAGGTATCCAAAGCAGGCAGGAGAGGTCGCATCGTTTCATAAGGACCCAGGAATCGCAGCCCGCCATGAAACAGGCAGAACAGAAACAGGGTCAACAGACACTGCAGATAGATCAGACCGCGTAACAGAGTCTGGGGATGCAGCAGCACCGCGCAGATTTTTCTGCAGAGTACGACGAGATGCTCCAGAGAAAACGGTTTTTGAGCCAGCTGAGTCTGCATGATTCGCATCCGAAATGAAGTAAGCCCGCTGTCATCATGATAGCGGGCTTTTGTCTTCAGATCTACAGGAGATCACGGTCGACCTTCGGTTGAAAACGCTTACTTCGATTCCAGGTCGAAGTTGATCGTGTTCTCGCCGGGTTCAACGGTGGCTTCCAGGGTGGTTTTCTTGTTGTATTTTTCGGGAACGGTTTCGCTACCCTGGTCGCCGAACGGATCGTTGGCTTCGTCGAGGGTTGAAATCTTGACACTGTGTTTGCCGGGGATCGCCCCCATTTCGTCGCGAATGTAAACCAGTTCGTAATGACCCGAGGCATCCGTTTTGGCAGCAGACGCCCGTCCGGCGTCCGGGTAAAACCGCACATTCGCATTGGGCAGCGGTTTGCCATCCATGGTTACTACGCCCGAAACCGTACCCAGCTCGGGCTGGTCATCGGGGGCACCACCACAGGCGGTCAGCAACAGGGAAAGCGTCAAACCAAACATCAGCAGCAGCGTGTGTTTTGTCATCTTGAAAATACTCTGGATTAATCAGGAGAAATTAGGGAATGACTGCAGTCCCGCATGGGCTGCAGTCAAAGAGGCACAACGGCTCTCAGTTGAAAACCGTTGTGCTCAAGAAAATAGATATCACGAAAATGGTGACGGGTGGTCGTCGACGGAGGCGTGCTTAGAATTCGCCCAGTACGTTCCCGTCTTTTTCGTTATTCAGCCATGTGTAGGTATTCACGTCGATGTTTTCCGACAGGAAACGGACCGAACCGTCACCCAGCATGACATGCACACCACCGACGTGGGGGCTCGACAGAGCAAACCGGTCGGCAGGGTCGCGGGCACCACCGTTGATGAAGTCATCCGGTGCGTTGTAGCCGATGAAATAGACGTCTTCGGCCTGCAGTCCCCGTTCCCAGCCCCAGGAGGCAGTCCGGGCACCGATCCAGAGTTTACCCATGAATTCATTACAGGCGGCACCACCACAACTGCCGGTCGAACCGGTCTCGTCCTGTGTGGTTACTTCGCCGACCAGAATCGTGTTGGTGGTTCCGTCGCGGAAATCACGAATCTGCAGCTTCTTGTTGACGCCCATCAGCAGACGCTCGGTTCCATAGTTGGATTTTCCAAAGCTTCCCTTGTCGATATTGATGCCACCCATCGGATCGGACGGGCAGTTATACACGGGGATTACGGTTTTGGCGGACGGGATGGAGGTCGAACCGGTATACCCGATGTGCCAGTTCATGGTGAAACCGTTGGTCTCAGTTCCGATCTGATTGTAGAGCGGAGTCTGATCCATGAAGGGCAGAATCATCGTGCCCCAGCCCAGGCCATTCTTGTTGGCAGCTTCGGAAGCATCACCCACGGTCTGATCCCCGTCGATCCAGCCGGGAGGGAAGGTGCGGTGTGTGTCGTGATAATTGTGAAACGCAACGCCCATCTGCTTCAGATTATTTTTACAGGTACTACGGCGGGCAGCTTCGCGCGCCTGTTGTACGGCTGGCAGCAAAAGGGCAATTAAGATAGCAATGATGGCGATAACAACCAGAAGTTCGATCAAGGTGAATCCACGCCAGCGAACGCCGCAGATCACACTACTGTTCCTCTTCATAAAGACATGACCTCAAATTTAATAGAAATGTAATTGAAAATATTTGAGACGCTGCCTTATGTTAGCCACACTCACCACAGAAATTCAATAATATAGTTAAGAAAGAAAGTGTTTCCTAAGATAAATGTGTTTACTGCAGGAGGTTTTTACCTGTTGTGAGAATGGGGCCTTGGTTACCACTTCAGTATTCCGCGGGTAGAGCCAAGTAATGTAAGTCTTATTATGAATAAGGTTACGTTTATTTATTCTTGGCCGGCGTCAGTTGTCGCCGCGCACGACCGTGTCGGGGCTCCCGATCCAGGCAGGCCTGAAAGTCAGCTTGGGCTGCCTCCGTTTTTCCCAGTGCGAGCCGAATCAGACCCCGGTCATACCATACCTGGGGATCTGCGGGGTTCAGGGTGAATGACTGATCGAGCAGGGCTTCCGCCTCTGCGAGCTGATTCTCGCGGTAAGCCAGCATCCCTTTGAGCCGCAAGGCCCGTGCGTGTGCCGCCTTACTTGCCTCCGCCTGCCCCGCCTTTTCCAGGATGTCCGCAATCTGCTGATGCAGGTCCGGATCTTTGGTCAGCAGCGCTGCTCGCTGAGCCAGCTCTGCAGCCTGATCCCACTCGTCCTGCATCCCCAGAGACTGCGCCTGGTAGAGCAGGGTCTCGGCGTTGTGGATCTGCAGGTCGTTCAACTGCTGAATCGTCTTGCCGATCTGTTCGGGACGTTTTCGCTGCAGATTCACTTCCGCCAGCCGCATCAGGAAGATCGGATAATGGGTCGTGGGGCGGTTGTCGAGCAGCTCGATCAATTGCTCCAGTTCGCTCGCCAGCTCATCCAGGGTGCCTCCCGAAATCCGCTGATTGAACTCTTCGACCCGTCGATCGATGCCGTACTGCATTCGATAGGGCTCGATGAAATCGGAACCCGGATGCAAAGGGACTGAGTGCTGGGCCCGCGCCAGTGCGAGGGCACTCCGGTTGACCGCGTCCATGTCACCTTGTCTGCGATATGCCTGAAGTTCCAGTTCCCGGAATTTGAGTGACTGGGGAACCCGCTGTAACGATTCCTGAATCAAAGGCAGTGCTTCCTCAATGCGGTCCGAGCGGATCAACAGTTTGGCCAGTTGATAACGGGCCGGCAGGAAACCAAGGTTTTCACGGAAGATGGCCTCCGCTTTATCGGTCTGTTCCTCGCGCAGATAATTGCGACCGATTTCATAGCGGATCTGCATCCGCTCGCGGTCGCCTTCGCGTCCCTCTTCTGCGGTCTCCAGCAGACTCAGGTATTTGTCGGTACTCTCCGAGGTGCGCCCGGTCCGTTCCAGGCAATATGCGATGCGGCTCTCAGCCAGTCGGCTCGCGGGCATCAGCCGGGCGACCTGTTCAAAACAGAGTGCCGCATGACTGTAATATCCCTGACCCAGTAGTGCTTCACCCAGCTGCATCCAGTCGTAAGGCGCATTATTTTTCTGCACCTGCGTGACCAGTGGTTCGACATCCTCTACAAACAAAGGATCCATCAGCCGCGTTTCGGGCAACACCGGTTCCGGGCGTGCAGCCCGCTGGTAGAACAGATATCCGCACCAGGTGCCTTCAATGATCAATAGCAGCATCAATGCGCGAAATAACATCAGCGACCCCCTTCCGCACGTTGCAGCCAGGCCGAAACCCGTCCGATACGATCAAAGGGTTTCCGCATATTCAACGCACCAGCGGCAATGTCAGGCCGGCCATCCTGGTTCAGGTCGCCCGTTGCAACCGTGACGAGATGGATCGGCTCACTGTCGATCTGCCAGCTCTTGAAGTTCTGCTGACCGTCATTTTCCAGCCAGACAAGGCTCGCATTCCCCGGCGTGTACCAGTCGTTCGTCATGCTCACCAGCACAACGTCCAGGTCCCCATCGCCGTCCAGATCGGTCACATCCCCCGCATACGTACCTCCCAGGTTTGAAATGCGGTGCTGCTTAAACTTCCAGTCGCCCGTGTTCTCAAACCAGTAACATCCGTGGTAGGGCTGTGGGTAGGCATCGAAGTCTTCGAGGTTGTCGCCCGCGGGGAGAATCAGATCCTGATCGCCATCCTGGTCGAGGTCGGCATGAATCAGACCCGCACTGCCCAGGTCCATATTGGGCGTCATCCACAGGGACCGGGTTTTAAATTTTCCCTGGCCCAGATTTTCAAAGGCCACGAGCTCTTCTTCTTCCTGCGAGACGATCGTCGCGATATCCAGGTCGCCGTCCCCGTCAAAGTCGGCCACGGGAACATGAATCGTTCCCGGCGCCCGATGCAGCAGGTGATCCACAAACTGAAAGTTGCCCTGGTTCTCCAGCCAGAGGACTTCACCACGGTTGTAACCGAAGACAGCCACCGCCAGGTCGAGGTCACCATCCTGGTCGAAGTCGCCCGGCTGCACATCGGCGACGCGGCGGACATCATCCAGAATCACATGTCTGTCAAAGCCGTCTTGCGTCTGTTCAAACAGCTCGACTTTGCCCACGACTCCATCATCGGGTTGAATATTGCCCAGCACCGAAATCACCAGATCCAGATCGCCGTCGGCGTCAATATCTACGGCGGTCGCATGCGCGGGCGCAGCGACATCCTCAATCAGCGTGCGCTTCGTCTGGACTCCCTCATTATCTATCGAGATCAGTAGTACCCGGTTATTGCCGGCATCACAGGCGAGAATTTCGTTTTTTCCGTCGCCGTCAAAATCAAGAATCTGCACGTTGGTAATCAGGGGCAGTTCTTTTGACGAACCCTCCGCACTCGCGGTCTGCAGACTCCCGCTGCGATCGAAGTGCAGGGGGGACGCCGGGTACGAAGTGCCTCCCGTGTAGAGTTCGGGTAGACTCCCCAGCGGCGGAACCAGGGGTAAGA